AGGATGGGCTCCACCACCACCAGCGATTGGTGACGTTGGATGCTGAATGCTGCCACATACACACACAGTGGTACCAGTAACCTAAGAACTTACAGCCATCTCTCTACAAAAGATGATGAAGTGCCTTCACAGATTAATCAAAAGATCCCCTTATGTTTCAATATACTCTTGTCGGAATTTCAAAGGATATACGTTTCCTACTTTAATGCTCTCTGGCCCCACTGTACTGCCCCTTTGCAGGACATTTTGTAGAGCGGAAAGTAATTTTCTTGCGCTTTTTATTTGCTCTCGTTTTTTTATGGGTCGATTTTCCTGTCCACTCCACTCTCTGCACACTCCACTTTCCTGGATGGTCGTCCTGTACTGTGTTCTCGTATTAGCTACCCATTCCAACAAAACTCGTGGAGAAAGGAAAGGAAAACTTTACTTTCACATGCTCCGGCCTGGCCGCACTTTGATTTTTTGTTGTCTGGCTGTTTATTTTTATTTTCCCTTCGATTCAGGAGCATGAGGCAAAGAAGGACTCTCTCCAGCAGAATACTTTGGCTTTTGCTGCTGGCGTTGGCAAAAATCAACTTTTGCACGTTTCGATTGTGTAAAGTTTTTATGGCTTTTTGATTTTTTTTTCACTTTTGCCATCGCTGTAGGGGGTCCTGAAGGATGTGTTGATGATGACGATGACGATGGGCACAGGTCTTGCTGGGGTTCTGGGGTCCAGTCCTGTCATCATCAATAAGGTGCCTCATTGAAGGCACTTAAATAATTACAAGATAATGGAAATGGCAAATGGCAACGGCACTTTTTAGCCACTTCAATGGGAGAAGGCTTAATGCAAATCGTGCCCAAGTACCCGACCCTCCCCCGTTCTCCTTTCACCTCAAGTCAAAGGGAAATGGTCTCTTCAGAGACACGGAGAAAGTGTGCTGCGGGGAGGGGGGTGGGAACGGTATGCAAATATTTGTGTTGAGCGAAAATCAGTAAAAGTAAAAAGCCTCTCAATGTTTGTTGTCACTTTGATTTGTTTGCCTCATTGTAAATATTTAATGGACCAGAAATAAGTGCAAAAGAGTTGTCATTGAAAGATGGCATCTACTCCTGCCCTCCATCTCGTTGGAACGTCTGAGTCGAGGCACACGTGATTCAACACTAAGATACCCGATAAACACTTTAGTGATGGTATGCCCTGGACGCCTTGTCATTCATTACTTAAATTTTAAATCACAAACATAACAACTTTTGTTCACCTCGAACACAATTTAGGACGAAACAAAATTTTAAGTATATTTTTAAAACCACAGACTACAGCACCATGCTCTACCTGGACAAGTCGGCGCTGTACATCTACAGCACGTACAACAAAAAAAAGCAGCATGACAAACTGCAGGGTCTACGCGAGCAGTACGCTCGCACCCAGAGGCTAAGCGACTTAATCGATGTGAATCTGCGGCAGAAGAGACTGAAGCGGCTCTATCGGGTGATCGAGGACATGAGGGAGGAGATGCCTACCAATGAAATCGTTGAAAGTCCAGCGCCCCTCAAGGTACGTCGCCGACTGCTGCCGATGGAGCCGCCAGCCCAATATTTGCGGGTGCGCCCGGACACCAAGCATATCAAGGAGCCTTCGCGTTGCCCAAGTACGGAAAGCTCTCGAACTCTCTGCTACCTTTGAGACGCTGCAAGGCTTTATGATCATTCGAACCATGGACAATACTTTACAATCAAAGGCTAAAGATTTTTAAGAACCTATTAAATAAATTCCTTATTTGTTGTTGAAAAATGAAAGTTTTAAATATAACCTTGCACATCGCGCTGCGCTGCAGCAGAGGGGACCCAGAACACAAAAGGGAAATAGGAAGGCGCGCGGTATCAGCTTCGGTACGAACCGTGACAAGCTCAAGCTGGTCCTATGTGGCTCTGCCGCGTCGCAGCAGCAGAGCGGACCCAGAACACAAAGCGTAAACGAGAAGAATCCGCGCGGTACCTGAATGCAACGACACAGACACACATACAAACGCACCCTGAAACGAAGCTGATGACGAAGACTGCCGAGTGGGAGTGCATTGTTATTGTTGCGGTGAGAGACACCACTGCCTGGCTCGTACATACAATGAAGATCAACAGAGAGAAAACGGCAGGCAATGCAAGAAGGGATTAATAGAATAAACGAAGCACAGCCTCGTACATAAAATGAAGATCGGTAGATAAGACGATTGCCAAAGAAAAAGAGCAGTCACCTACACCTACAGCGAACACGAAAATAGCATCATAAATGTCACCTCATAAACGCAATTCCCTGACAAATTGTTTTCCCCCATACCTGAGCAAATGTGTCCATCAAATATTTGCAATGCAATTATTTCTGTAAAAACAAACGATAATTGAATTTATCAAATTTACGTAAATCCAAACTCTATTAAATTTAGTGATTTTTGTGCATTTGGTATGACTACTACATAAATATTTATTTTTGAAAATAGTAGTCCATTATTTTTTGTTTCGTGGTGGGAAATTCCATTTTCATTTTGGCCGGAAGCTGATCAACGCCCTCTCAAACACACACTCAATTCTATAGAAAACACAAATAACTTTTATTGATAACGAATTTGCAAGAGTGCCCCCCAAACATATCCCCACCAAACAAAACAAAGACATAGTTGAAATATTTAAAATTTATTGCGAGCTTTCACTCCTTTTTGTTGTTCGTTTTTTTTTCCCCCCCGAAAGGCCGTAATAAATAAAATTAAATTATATGCACAGGCAGAAAAAACTGTTGAGCAATTAAAAAAATAAACACGTTTGTAAGCATTTTTATACGCAAGGAAAAAACTATATAAAAGAGGCAGATAAATAAATACATTTTTGTGGATGGAAATGCGATTGAATCTTTTTGGTATACCCTGTGACGGTAGGGTACGGTACGGAGTATATGGGGGTCTGAGGGAAGACTTTTCGATTCATGTGCGGCGCTCTTTATAGGGTATCGAAAGCTTCGTTCCATACATCACCTAGTGTTTTGTGTTTTCCTGTTGCTTTTTGTTGATTTCTCTTCGATGTTTTACAATTTCCACAATGGCCAGAAACAGGACAGTAAATATTTTAAATGTTGGCTAGTTTTTTCTCTCTGAATTCGTATGTTGCCTTGTTTTCCATTTGTATCGTATCATTTATATTTCAATTTTAATTTATATTCATTTGAATATTTGCATTGTGTGAGGGGTTGGGGGGCGGGACTACATTTTCGGTTGGTAAAAAAGCTCATAAGTTAATGGAGAGGCGAGTCCTGCAGTTGGCTTTAACATTGAACTGCACTTCAAAACTCAGTTTTTGTGTGTGTTTCTGTGCGTTTGTGTGTATTTGTTTATTACTTTGTAATGTTGATCCGATTTAAATCATTTTTAGAACTGGGTCAACATTGTTTACCTGCTGAAGGATGTGTCAGGTCCGTGCAACAGTTTGTTCTGTGCAAATTTCCCATAAATATTGATTGGTTTTACTCTAACCCACCAATTAGCCTTGAACAAGTTCTTTTCGTATTACTTTTTCTTTGTTTACTTATGATTATCATGTTGAATCTTCCATTTACATTTTCATCTAAAATCGCAAATCCCCCCCCGCCCCCCCACCCCTCCCCCACCCATGCCATTTGCTTTTCCTTTGAGCTTTTTGCGGTTATTCTGCAAAAGTTCTGTGGTCGCAGCGCGGGCTTTGATTTGCGAATACAAATGCGGGTCGGGGTGGTTGGTTCTCTCCCTCTCCCCTTCCCCTTATATTTTAGCATATTAAATTAAAGCAAATGGCTTTGAAGGCCCAGCATGGCCGGCTCCTGCTCCTGCTCCTTTTTCCTTCTGCTGCCGCTGCCGCTGGTTGGGTGATAAATCTAAGTGCTGCCGTCTAAATAAGTGATGTTTGAGGCTGCGAATGCGAAAGAGAATGGTGATTTCTGTGTGCCCAGAAACAAGAGAGACAGACAGACAGAGAGAGAGACTACGGTGGAGGCTTAGAATCTCGAAGAGTTCTCTTAGTAGCGAACAAAAAAAAAACCCCCCAAACCAAAGCCCGCGCCACTGAGCTGCTGAATAAACAACTTTTTGCATTTGCTTTCGGATGAAAACTCCACAGCTGTGGAAATCGGCTTAGACATCTGGCAAAACGTCATTGCCATTTGTCATCCATGCTCGCTCCCAAAACAGAGTATACTAGAAAGTTTTCTTTAACAGAGAAACTATTTTAACAGAGTGTTACAAAAATTTAATTTAAATTGATTTTTTATATGTATTTATTTTTTTAAAGTTACATTTTTTTTAAATAAATACTGATTATTTTCAAATAATGTAACTTTTTATGAAACTATTAAAATTAATGATTATAATTGAATACTGAATATAACCTATAATTATATTTTATATTTTTTATGTTTAAGATTTAGATATTATTATATTTAATATTATTTTTCTTTCAATATAATGACATATTTAAATTGTGGTTTTAATATTATTTTTTTGTATTATTTATTTATGAAAAGCCATATTTTTTTGTGGAATTTACCTTTGAGTAATATTTTTTAGGGGATTTCTGGGTTTATCTATTTTAGTATAAATTTGCAATATTTTGTAACGTTAACATTAATATTTTTTGTAGTATTTTTATCTTAAAATTTTTAAGGGATTTTAAATTTACGTCTGGGAGTCTAACGGGTGTGTTTATGGGGTCTTCTACCGCTCGAATCACAGCCTGAGAACAGCTTTCTAAGCAGCTGTAAAATTACCAATGAAATTACAAAAGAAAATCCACATTCTTAAATTACCAAATAATTATTTAAGAATGTTATAGAGAAAACAGAACAAATACGAATACCATTTGATTCGCAACAGCTGTTTTCGGTGGTGCAATAATACACAAGTGCTTGAAAGTATTTCGAGCTTTGAGTTTGGAGCAAAATGTCTATAAATTGGTTCTGCATCGAGTGTACGGCTCATAGTCATTGAGTTCCGCCAGCCAGAATGAGGATCAACCTGCAGACACTACTTTTCCTGCTGCTGGCAATCACCGCCACGATGGGTGGGTTTAAGAAGAAAACCCGCGCCAAGGATAATCGATATTGCACCTCAACGATATGCCACACCGAGAACATAGCCTGCCACAACAACGGCGTGAGTCAACACTGAAATATATGCCAAAAAACTCTGATTATATTCCCTATTCTGTAGAGCCTCCACGATTGCCATCACAGTGCGAAATATGTAGAAATGAAAAAGTACAAGAAAGACCTCGACTCGATGTTCAATACGGTGCGGAGTAAGGTGGCCAGAGGGGGCTATAGGAATCTCCCGGTGGCCGGTCGCATGGCCCGAATGGAGTGGTCCGAAGAGTTGGCCTGGTTCGCCAAACTCCAGATAAGCCGCTGTCGTCTACGCAACGCCTTTTGCATGAATTCCCCGTACTTTTACTACATTGGCAGCATGGCCGATGAGTTGATAAGGCCTTCTGGCAATATACAAACCAGCGAGTTGGCCATCATGAAGGCCATGGTCGAGGACTGGTTCAGCCAGCTGCCCGGCATACCCCGATCCGACACTCTCCGCTTGCCCAGTTTCTACAAGAGAGCGTAAGTAGAGGAGGCTTTCCGAAAGACCATGTTCTATACTCTCCTCTCTGAATAGTTCCACATTCCGCAGCACTTTGCTGATCAACGAGAAGAACTCAAACTTTGGCTGTGCCGCTCTGACCTTCCAGTACACGGGCTATAGGTATTTCCTCTTCAGCTGCGCCTTTGCCACCATAAATATACCCGAACAGCCCATCTACAAGTGGAGCACAAGGCCCGGCAGGGATTGCTATATGCCGGACAAACAGTACCCGAACCTGTGTGATCGACGAGAGCGATACGGCAATGATTTGCCTCTTACAAATCTATCAGCGCACATAGAACCCATTTATACGTGATGGAAATAATGTTAGAAACTAAGAGCTAGAATAAATACCAAATAAATAAATAAATAAGGTACATCGTATGGAATGAGATAGTCCTATTCGAGGAATTCGTTTTGAGTTAGTGTTGAGAATTTCCGACACTTTTAGGAAGATAATTCCTGTTCTAAGGAAATTGGAAACATTTTAATGCCAATTTCTCTCATTTTAGATACTTTTAGATCAAGACCAAGATCAAGATCTTTTTTGTTATTTATTTTGCTTATTGCTCTGGTACATCAAATTTTTTAATTCAATTTTATGTTTTGGGTCATACATATGTTTTTTTTTTTTATAGCATTAATGTTTCAGATCTTGTGTCTTCTTTAGATACATGTAGATAAGATTTACATATATTTAAGATTATATGTTCACCTTTAGTTTTAGATCTTCTTTAGATAAAATATACGTTTTAAATCACAGTAATGTTTTAGATCATTCTGTACTGTTTATAACAAATTTATATTTTACATCGCATAATTTTTATTCATTTTATTCATCAATGTTTTACACAATGTCTTCTTTAGATCAGATTTATGTTTTAGATCACACTTATACATTCAATCATCTGTCTCTTTGGATCACACATACATCTTTTTAGATCATGTGTCTCTTTGGATCACATTTCCGTTTTAGATAATCTGTTCTTTTAGGTCACATTTATGTTTAAGATCAACTGTATTTCTTAGATCACAATTATCTTTTAGATCTTTTGTTTTTTTAGATCACATTTCCTCACAGATCATATTTCTTTTTAATTTTGTAGCTGATAATTCGTTTTTTAGATTTTTTATTTTAAGAGAACCATATTTTAGTTCATTTAGCTCTTATAGATGTCTATTTTGAGATCATATTTTTTAGATCATATTTTTATTTTAAATATTTATTTTTTGCAAGTCTGTTTCGTTTAGGTGATATTTTTTGAGAATGCCTTTTCTTAGATATTTTTTATCTTTTAGATCATATATTGATGTAATTACATATAATTTATATTCTACCCTTTATATTATTTTCTGATACTTTTAGTGTAATTTAAATTATATTTTCTACCTTTTAGAACCCTTTCTTCATACGAAATTTCCCTTCTAGAAGTCAATTTTCTATCAGAAAACTTTTACCATTTCCGTATCGCATTTTTTCCCACAAATTTAATTCAAATTAAATTCCGAATCGAACGCTTGCGATTCATTGATTTGTCGTCTGGTATCAGCTCCAACTATAATTCTCCCCCAAAACCCCCCCTCCCCCGGAAAGAACCGCCAATGGACACGCGCATACCCGTCTCCATGCATCATCATCATCTTTATCGTCGCCGTCGCTGTCGCTGTCCTCGCTTTATCCTTTAAAAGCCAGGACTCTTGGACTTAATGTTTAAATATTTCATGAAATGGAGAAGCAGCAAAAACAGGAGGCACCGGGCCAACAGACAGATGGCATAAAAACCAAAAAAAAAGGGAGGACGACGATGTGGCAAATAAATAATGTAAAAAGTGTGAAATGCGCCTAATGGTGTGCCAAGGAAGGGTCCACCAGAAGGGAAGGGGAGGGGAGAGCCCTATGAAATGGCGCATAAAATGACAATTGACAGCTGATGATATTTTCACTTGAGTGCGCCCGCGTTTCCCTTAACCAACTCCATGTATATCATAAATTTATAATAGAAACCCCACACACGCACACACACAGGAGCATTTGAGTGTGTTGTCAAAGACATGCCCTTAGACTTTTATTCCCACCCAGCAACTAGAACAAACCAGATCAAAACCCCCCAATTCAAACCAAATTTTCCTAACGTTTTCAATTCAAATATTCAGATATTTCTGATTCGATCGCAATGTCCTGCAAAGGTTGCCCCCCCTACGAGAAAGACAAATCGGCGATCTTTTTCCCCCGCTGCTTTCAGTGGATACGCGGCGCGTGCACCAAAAAGAATCCCGGAAATGTGGAAAATCTTCATGGTCTGTCGCGCAACGTGATGCCCAAGTTCTTTGATGGCCTTGAACTGGATTATATGCATCGTTTGGGGCCGCACAAGTACATCACAGGGTCCTGGATTTTGAGCCACATGAAGGCGGCGGGCTTTCGCTTTGGCGGTCTCTATACATTTCGCCTCACAAATGATGTTTTGGTAAGTCACGGAGATAGATGTATGGACCGCTCTTACCCTCTTTCCCTTGTGCTAGCTTACACCCACTATTATCGGGGATATACATCCCTCGACGCAGGCCGCCAATCTGAATATCCTGTACTATCCGTACGAATGCCTCCGCTTGGAGGCCACGCTGCAGCGGAGCAGCGAGAAAACGCCCGTGGACAGCCAATATACCATCGAATTGACACGCCCCTGCGACACTTGGTCTGCTAATTTCTATAATGTTCGCAAGGATAGTGGTCGCTGTACATTGTCCGTGATGCGGGCCATCACCCAGCATTGGGCATTGGGCGGCGAGATGTTGTTGGAGTGGAATTCTCCAGAGAAACTATCCACAGATTTTGCTCTGGCGGCGCGGTAAGACGGGGAGTATAATTCGAGGGTTTCTCCGACTAACCCCGTTTTGGTCCTTTCCTCCCAGTTATTCGCATCACAATTTCGCTGTCGCCGCCTCGGCCTCTCGCATTGGCCTGGATATCAGCTACTGGCAGCGCATCTATCCACAGATACAGATGGCCAATCTGTTGGCCTACAATTACATCACCAACAAGACCATTGCCACAGTTGGCTATCAATGGAACTTTTCCGATTCGGCCGTACATGCCATGCTTGATTCGGATGCTTCTGTGGGCTTTATGTGGACCAAGTGGGTTCTACCATCAGCCTATATCTTTCCCTCTGTAATGTCTTGTCTTTCCTTATAGGTATCTCAACAATTTTCCTCTACAAATGGGCCTGAGTGTGATAATGAGCATTCCAACAGATCGTTTTGCCTTTGGCATGCGTTTTGTTGTCGATCCGAGTGGCTATCGTCGCGATAATTAATTTCTTTACATTTTATATTTGTTATCCACCAAATTACCAATCGATTTTTAGTCCAAAAGACATTAACAAATAATTTCGGCAAAAAATAAAGTTTTTTTGGAGTTTTTTTCTGGTTTCCTTGCAGCAGACACTGTGCCACACGTTGACATACACACACACACGAGAGTTTCTCCCTCCTCGAATGCATTTGATTTATGCTCCGCAAAGTCTAGACACTGTAAATATTTTTTAATGCCAACAGAAATCTCAGCACTGCACTCAAGAAAAACCCACAGCACACCACACACTTCTGTAATCTATAAATCTTAAATAAATACAATTTACACAATAAATCTACACTCCATTTGGGGCAGAGCGTTTCACAAAAAGATAATGGCTGTTAATCCGTTATAGAGCTGAAAAAACCTCCGCACCACCACCCCCTGACCCATAAAGCAGGCGAAAAGTCAAGAGTCGCGGCACACGTTCCTCGACACAATGATGCACTGTATTCAGTAATTGATCTGAGTATCTGCGTTTCCTAAAAGTATGCATTCATCAGTTCATTCCTCTGCGAACCAGGTGTTCAACGAGCTGAACGACAGGCGCGCTTTAATTTGTTTTATTCATGTTGGATTTAAAAAGCGATCCGATCATTAAATTGTTTTTGGAATCTAATAGATTTTATTATTTTTTCTGATTCTTACAATGACAGATATCTTTACAGATATGTCGTAGGCAGCTACATATAACTATAAGGGTTTGATCTGTACGATGCTCCTGACATTTTATTTCAATTTATTTTTTAAATTTAAATATTTAAGATTTCAAATAAGTGTATTTCAGATTTAAACTAAAGCTACATATTTCCTATAAATGTAGGATATTATATACATTTTAAAGGGTTGTATATATATAGTTTAAATTGGGGACATATTAAAAATAAATTTTTAAAAAAGTAACTTTTAAATCAAATTAATTACATTTTGAATAAATGAATGTTTAAGTAAAACGAATTGAACGTTTAAAAAATTAATGTTTAAATCAAATTAATTAAATTTCTAATAAATTAATGTTTATATAAAAAAATCGAATGTTTAAAAAATAAATGTTTAAATCAGATTAAATTAATTTAATAAATTAATGTTTAAGTAAAATTAATTAATTGTAATTTAATTAAATTTATAGTAAAATAGTGTTTACATAAAATAATTGAATTTTTTAAATTAATGTTTAATAAATTAATTTATCAATACAATTAATTGAACGTTTTAAAACTTAATGTTTAAATCAAGTTAAACAATAATTTATTAATAATGTATTTTTAATACATCCCATATTTAAACTAAATATAAAAAACTATGATGTGGATTCTTTTTAATTTCACTATTTTCTTTTTATTTAAAAACTGAACACTTTGAATTTAAATATAGCTTTTTTTTGACTACGTCTAATTTTTATTTTTCTCTAAGTGTACTGCTTGAAAGGGACTAAGAGAAATACCTTTCTCCACTGACAGATCTATGGATCTATAGGCTCAATGCGTCACAAACAACTCCTCAAAATCAAAATACCCTCTCTACAGAGAACTAATCTGCAAAGCCACTATAGTAAAAGCTGTAGCCACAAAAACCCAAGAGCCATAACTTTCAATTGATTTTTGGTCAAAAAACGGGTCTCGGAAAGGGTTCCTTTTTTTGTTTTTGGCCCAAAGAATTTTCTTGGACAAACATTTGGTATGCCTTTAAATTTCCCTGGTTCTGTGTGCCCTCCCCCCGCAAAAAAGTTTCCAACACACGAGCAGAGAGCAAATATTAATATTTCAATAAATGCTGGAAATCCTTTTGCCCGCCCCTCATCAAGGGGGTAAAAGTTTTGCTCAAAAAGGCCCTGGGGCACCCGGGACCCCTACTCCAACGCCCTGCGCTTATCGACGCCTTTACAAATCATTAGATTTTCATATCCGATGAATTTTACAACAATTTTTGGGAAGAAACAAGCAACAAAAAAAGAAAGAAAAGCAACTCGGCCGCCGACATGTCAATTTGTTTGTTTTTTGCGTCCTTTCAATGTGAGGAATGGGTTTGGTCCTGCCAAAGGGTGGGGGGGAGGGTGTAGGGGGGTAGTCATGCATATGCAAAGGATATACGTATAGTATGTCCACGAACGTGTCGTCGCCCATTTTATGTTTATTTAAACTTCACTTCGTAGGCGGAAAAAATCGTGGAGAAACCGTAAAATCATCGACGAACAATGGAAGGAGTGGAGCCAAAAGAACAAAGGAAACAAAGAGAAAGGAAATAAATAAACGAAAGAAATTTCATATTAAATAAATTATATGGAAAGGCGTTTCGTTTGGGGGCAAAGTTGGTTCTTCCTTCATATTAACTTTATAAAGGAATTAATAAATGGAAAGAGCTCTGAAATTTGGTATGTTTTCGGGTAGGAAAATACAGGGGAAAAGACCTGGTTTTCTATCGTGTGAAGAAAATAGGAGGTTTATAATTTTTGCATTAAAAGTACCTTTAAAAATCAAGCTTTCGTTAATTAAACAGTCTTTTATTTTTGTTGTAATAAAATAATTTTTCGTGAAAAATCCTTTGGATTTCTAAAGAAATTACATAAAAATATAATATAATTAATCAATAAAAAATTTCATTAATTAAACAAAACTTGCAGCTGAAAATATTTAAATAAATAAATAAATAATTAATCTTTAAATAAAATCCAGAAAATCTTCCTCCAAAAACCCTGTTCTCAAACATCCCTTGATAATAAAATAAATTCCCATTTTAAAGCCATTTTCCATATTTAAGCTACAAATAAAAAACAACAAAAGAAATGTATGCCAAAAATCAGAGAAAAGTAAGTCAACACACAAATTTGAACCGACTAACAAAAAAACAAGTAGCATAAACACAGCAGCACAAAATATACATACAAATTTTCCTTGAGGCAAGAAGTTTTTCTGCTTAAATAGCAAAAGCAGGAAAAAGCAAGCGCAAAATATGAAAATAAATAGGAGAAAAAAATATTGTATGTAAGGGAAAAAAACTTGTTTGCTTGCCCACATCGACCAACATTTATGTTTATGTTTAGAGTACAGGAAAAAAAAGATGCGGAAAACCTCCAAAAAACACACACACACATACACACAAACACTTGCAGAATGGGCTTGGGCTGTTGTTTTTCTTTTGCGTTTTTGGGTTCGCCGAGTGGAAAACATATTTAATTAAAGCTATCCGCATATTAAAAACTTTTCCCTCCCACTCGCCACTCAGGGAGGGAGTTTTTCCTCCCGTTGTTGCAGCATACTTTTCGGCTAGCAAACTCTTAAGCTTTGCCACATTACGAGGCATAAACATGAATAGCCAGACATTGATTTTTTTGGTAGCGAAGCATTAGATACCCTCATGGAGAGCCTAATATACACTCGATGGCACTAGGTAAACAGTCCATTCAATGTCTTAGTCTCTGCTCTGTTTTTTCGCCTCTAATCAATTGGAGAAAACAAGAATGCAATACAAAAACAAAACCCTTTTGCTTGAAAATGACATCAAAATGCCGATTTACTTATCAGCAAGATCAGCGCCGGCAGAATTGCCATGTAAATTGCAGCAACACTTTTTCATAGTCTCTTTCCACCATCACCTTCGCCTCACGATGCCTGCAAGGCAGAGGCATAGCCGCGCCATAAAGTATTGTGTTTTTGTGTGTGCGTGTGTGTCCTCATAAAGTATGATATTTGTTTGTATTAAACGCATGAACAGATCAGCGTCGTCATGGCGATTGTTAGGCTTTCGAGACGTGAAAGAACATGCAAGGGACTTGCCAGAATAGCCGCCCCATAAAGTATGATATTTTTTGCAGATCAGCAGATCACCAAAACAGCCGCCCCATAAAGTATGATATTTTTTGCAGATCAGTAGATCACCAGAACAGCCGCCCCATAAAGTATGATATTTTTTGCAGATCAGCAAATCACTCGAATACAAGACACAGAAAGAGAGCCCCATCAAGTATGAGGTTTATCTGCATTTTTCTATGAGAACAAATCCCTCAATAATTACGATAATTTCTAAGGGCTGTTTATTTATTAAACCTTTTGTGACTGGGTGATATTTCATGTTTCAAGGTTTCTTTTCCCAAAGTACTTCCTCTGCTTAACAAAAACCACCCAAAAATCATCATACCCCTGTCTCTATTACGAGCAACAGAATTTTTTGGACCCTGAACTGGTTTCGAGAGCTTTAAACAACAAAAAGTGCCCCAAGGCGGCAACAAGCAAGCAGGGAGGGGTGGGTAGGGGGTTCGGTCACGGGTCACTCTCTCAAGTTTTATAAATATGCAAAATTTTAATGAATTTTTGTTTGTGCTGCCCTGCCCGCAAATTGCCCCCCCACCCAGCCTTTTGTCGATCCCCGCAAGACAGAATATTCATTCATTTCAATGCGGGGTCGTCTTCAGCAGCCTTTTAAGCAGCTTTAAAATGCGGGTCAACTCGGGCTCTTCACTCAGCGCCCGATAAGAAGGCCAAAAGTGGAAATTAAAGCAAACAAAAGGAAAGGTAAAGGACGAGTACAATTAAGGACCTGCTGCTGGTTGAAACAAGTGAAGAAAACGAAAGACTGATGAAGTTCTAGGGTGTGGACGAAGATTGGATGCTCTGTCACTGCTAAGTCGTAGTGGGAGAGAGAGAGAGAGAGAGACTATTATTGAGAGGCGATAAAGATTTCTGCTTTCAAAAGCACTATCTCTCTCTTACTCTCTCTCTTTGTAACTTTCTCTCTATCACAGTGTGGCTTAGCTGTATTCCAATACCAAAACCCTAAAACTTTTGGTAATCCTTTTGAAGACAAAACCCCTTAAAAATCCTCAATATCCCTTTTTCCTTGAACTTCATTAAAACAGAGAGGAAAACCCCAATATAAAATGCCATGTAATGAACACACACACACAGATGGAGAAGCGAGGTTACCTCTGACCTGATGGTAATTTCACTCACCTTTCTTCTCTTATTTTTGTTTGAAGTGAAAGTCATAAAATCGTAATAAAATTGGCCAACTTTTAATTTAATTGCGAGCGAGAGCAAGAGAACTTTTAACATCCACCCCTAGCCGTCCTT